TAAAATAAGCAGTTCCAGTAAAGGTGTTTCCGAACAGATTTACGGAGCCTTCAGGAAAGATTCCCTCAAAGGGCACACACGTTCCCAGCGCTGCAGCTGCCCTCTAATTTACCTCCTGGCCCATAAAAAAAACATAAAAGCTTTCTATAGTATAAACTTCAAATTTAGAAAACAGTATTGTTCGTATAGAAATAACTGAAAGCTCCAGCCATCCACTAGGTCAAACGTACAGCCATTTTACATTTAAAAATGGCTTTTGTAGTGAATAAAGAATTAGACATGCTTGTCCCAGCCTCCTCTGGTCAAGAGAGTAAACAAAAGCGTGGTAACAATAGAACTTGCCTATTTTCACACGACGCCCCTGAGGGAGGCATCACTGTAAGAAGCTCTCTATGTTACCTAGCGGAAGGATAAATCTTTATATTCCGAGCTGTAACAGAAATACATATATTTTAATATAACATCTTTAACTAGACGATTCGATTGCTTTTCAGCACTATGTTTAACATATAATCTTTTTGCTTCTGTAAAATGTTGTTCTTGGAACAAATCACAATATTTGATTTTGTTTCAGTTTCTACTTTAGTAAAGTTTCTGTTTGTTTACTGATAAATTAATCATGGGCAAGTTTGTATTAAATGTGTAAAGGTTGCGTAGACAAAAGACAATATATACTAGACGTCGACCCCAATCTAAATAATAAGCTGTGCTGTGGAATCCCAAGACTGGACATCAGCACTACATCGGGATCGACGTTACATAAGAGCTCTTATGTTAAGTGATACCGATACCACATCCCATGGACTCTCAGAACTGTTGCAAGTGCGTTGACGGCCTTTTAATAATCGGTATAATATAATATCTTGAAGTACCCAAAGTCAAATTTAATCGCAAATAGGCAGCTGGCTGGTCCTGCCTCGTATAGGTTTAATTATAGAAATAAACCCAGCTACATACAACTACGCATCCGGCTCGAAAAAACCCCATTGCATCCAGCACTCCTAGCTTTTATTCCCATTCACGTAGCTTTCTTTTTTCCCTCGCCTAGACGGATTTTGTTATCGCTCGAGATGTTGGTTTGTATTAAATTATTCCACTATCTGGGTCATTTTACGAGCCTACAACAATTATATTTTCGCTCCTCATTCAAATGTTTGTTCTACATTTTTGCTAAAATAGCTTTCGCATTAGTATAATGATCAAAGGCATTAGTAAATATGACTTTCCGTATGGCGTCATTTTGAATGGATGTGATTTATCAAGAATCATAATATTGAGTTATTACGCCTTTACTGTCTAACAGACTTATGACTTACGGCAGCCATATTTAAAGCTAAGTCGATTCAAGAACTTTAAATTACGTATTTTGACACAGTTTCGTTACTAATAATATTCAATAACAGCTATCATAAATTACGACACTACAATAGTAGGAATCACCGCTATAAATCAAGACAACATCTTAAACGTATGCACACGGGTGGCGACGCAAGTAAAATATAGTCCACTAGATTACGTAATATGCAGTTGAGAGACAATAGAGGACCACAGACTATAGTTAATTCAATTTAAAATAAGAATGCAATTTATATTTCTATTAAAGGAATTTCTTTGAAGATGGTTGTTTCATTTTAAATATAGATTTTATTATATAAATCTTCTTTAGGATTTATACCACTATACTTATTAGGGCATTAAGATAATGAAAAGTGAGTCTGTTTCGCTTTCAAAGTACTACTACTACTTCATCTAAGTTTAAATACCTTGTAACTACAATAACTATTATGCAGACATTATATAGACCAAACATAACAGTACCTTTTTCAAAAAACCTTTTTAGAAGTAGTTTGTTACTGTCATGTTTGTATTTGCTTTAATTTAGATATAAATAGACGGCACATCATTCAGTCATTGTAGTCTGTGAAACGATTGTTCAGTTTATCACCGGTTCATATACTTAGTCAATTAGTAAAATAAAATTACTACAGCTATTCTTAGTAGAGCGTAGCGACGTCCCGCAACAGGGCATGGGTTATATACGTTTCTGATGAATGTAATGTTTAAGTGACTTCGAAATTATCGCAGTATTGTATCCAGCTTCTACAGCACAAATTTAAAGTGATCGAATCGGTCCCTGAATATAGAAATAAAAGAGTATTTATTCTATTCAGAAAGTTCAGTCTCCCTTCATCCTAAACTATCTTTTTATTTCACTAGGGTGGCTTAAATAAACGACCGTTAGTTGACGCCCTATAGGTACTTTATATTAGTAGGTATAAAGATAGTAAGAACGCTTTCTCTCAAACGTGGGTGAGACGGCTCGTTCTATGCTCTCATTCATCTATAACCCTGTTTATACTACGATAAAACGTACAAGTAGTGAACGTTCCACAAATTAACTACGAATCGATGGAAACACGACCAGATAACGATTGTTTACCTGACGATTAGACGTTCAAGGTAATGATAATACTCGTTGCCCGACTAAGAAAACGTTTTTACATATAGACGATAGCATAAGTGCAATATTTATAAATCAAAATACGCATTCAACTCGTGAGTTCACACACGTTGACATTGAAAGTTATGCAAGACACTTATGTATGTTGAATGTCTCATGATTCTACATAGAATAATGACAATACCGGTCCTCGCCATACCAACAAAAACCCGGAATGCCGTGTTTAAAGACGATCCCCTTACCTCTGTCGCTCGAACATATCCTATCAGGGCTATACAAAATAGCCATGCGTATATTCTCCACTGCATCACAGTAACTTTTGGAACCCCGGCTACACCAACGTTACACTACACAAACACTGCACTAAACAATTATTAGTTATGTTATCCCACAACACCATGCACACGGTCACAACAAGGCGAAAAGCGGCATGCACCTTCGTTAAAAGTCTGTCGTAAACTGAGGCCCGCTTGGCGCTGGCTTCGCGACGTAGCGTATTAAACTCACGACTAACTTCATTGATATGGGCCTTCCCTTTGCTCGGTCGTCGCCCGATGGTCGATGAAGCTCTATTTTGCGTCACGCATTCCAATTTATTACATTGAACATTCACTCTCACTGCGGTAATCGAGTTACTTCGTACGTCTGAAAAAAGGAAATTTTACATGAGCGTTATGTAGTTAATTTTCAACGCTTATTGCGTAGTGCTACATAGGTATGTACTTAATCTAAATTTGAAAGGACAGGCCAGAAATAATTCTCAACAGAAGATATCATTGGAAAGGGCGTCGACCGTCCTAAAGGGCAGACAGACTTAATTTTAGGAGCAATTTGAAATTCATTGTCTCATAAATATACCTAATACCTACTTTAAATTAGTTATGTATTTATAATTAGCCCTGAAACTACTATTAAGTTTTTTTTAAACTTCCCAACTTATTATTGTAACTTTTATTTATAAAATGAAGACATGGTTTGTATTTTGCCTCTATAAGTGATAGACGGTAAATTAAAACTTAAATCTTATTATTACTATTATTATGTGTACTACTACTACTTGCCTATGATGTTTAAAAACTTTATTAATTAAATAACGCCATCTGTGCAATCTTTTAGAATTATGTCGTTCATTTGGGTAGCCTAAGGTTATCCACTCTCGTCGTTCATAGCATAGTCAGTAGATGGCGCAAATGCCACTTAACGTAATTATATATTTAACTAGCTAATACCCGGCTTCGCGGGGGAGAAAATATGAGAGGAGAGAGATCATAAATTAAAATTACATGAGATTAAAAAAATTTAAATCTGTTTTGTGATTGTGATTACTTGGCAACCTATAAACAATTTTCCTTTTTTTGTCCGGGGTATAAAAACAAAATTTTTGGGTTTCCCCCCCTCCGGAAACCCCCAAAAACGCCCCCGGGGAAGAGGGGGATTTTTTTTTGGGGCCACCCCCAAAAAAATTTTGGCTTGCCCTCCGCTTTTTTTTAAAAAAAAAAAAAAAAAAAATTTGGGGGAACAGCCCCCCCCAAAAAAAGAAAAAGCAACCCCGAAAACCGAGGGCGGATAATGTTGTTTTTGTTTTTTTCAGATTGAAATAATAACAATGATTATTCTAGCATTAAAATATATACTTTCTTTCCTTTGGTTTTTTTCAACAAACTAATTAAAATAAAAGCCTTTGAAAAAACCAGCATTGTAACAGAAATTTACTTTCAAGTTTTATATTGAATTGGACCTTTAAATTTGTTGTCACTACTAATCCTACAATTGCTCGCAACGCTTTTGGAAATAAAAATCTTTCCCAAATATTCGATAACAGATGGCGCCACTATACTTAATTTCCAAGTTGTAGGGTTGGAAAGTTCCTATCTTTAGAAACACGCCCTTAGAACAAGCTCTGTTCTGCGTAGTAGAACGCAATTTAAAACCCAAATTTGAAAATTTTGAGAATAACTCCTGTCCCCAACAAATTGAATTTAAGCTTTATTGAAATTGGAATTTTAAATTTCGTGTCACTATCGTGTCACTGCTGCAATTGCTCGCAACGCTTTTGGAAATGAACCCAACATCGTTGTCCTGAATAAGGTTCAAATATTCGACAGGCGTCACTGATAATTTCCAAGTTGAAGGGTCGGAAAGTCCCTTATATCTTTAAAAACATGCCCTTTAGATTAAAACGAGAACTTTCTTGTTCGAGGGGGGATAAAGGGCTATCACACCACATAAGTCCCTTTATCGTGTCGGGACTCCTTTTTAAGGTTTATCGGCACGCACATTTTATCGACTTAGTTTTATTATATATATATTTAACATAACATACAGATCATAAATTAAAATTACATGAGATTAAAAACATTTAAATCTGTTTTGTGATTGTGATTACTTAGCAACCTATAAAAATTCCTTTTTTGTGATAATGTTTCTTGTTTTTTTTTTCAGATTAAATAAAACAAATTACTCTACATTAAGATATATATTTCTTTCCTTCAACAAACTAATTAAAATAAAAGCCAAAAACCAGCATTGTAACAGAAATTCACTCCTGTCCCCCAACACTTGATAGAGTTTGCTTATGGCGTCGGATTGCATCTTCATGGCGTTTGATTTGCTCTTGATGAAAAGCAATCTCCTTTTCCATGTGGCCTTTCAGGTTTAACAGTTGTTCTTTTTGCTGAAAAAAAAAACTTCTGGAGTTATTAAAAAACTAGGAAACCGACCCAAACCTCAATAATACATAATTTCGTATAAAATTTTGAATATTTCTAAGCTTTATCCAAATTATTATTTCATTGGCTTTATTAATAAAAAAACAAGGGACAGTTTGTGCAAACTTTGAAGGTGAGTCATTGTTAACCACCAACTTGAGATGATTTTGGCAAGTATGACCTCATATGGAATACTGCACACATCTCTGGGCCGGTAGTCCCAAATATCAGCTTCTTCCTTTTGGTCGAATTCAGCAAAGAACTGAGAGGTCAATCTCTAAGGTATTACTGATTCACTCTCTCTATGCCGAGACAATGCATCTCTATGCGTATGCTGCAGTGTACTATGGAGTGTTCTGAAGAGTTGTTTGGGTTGATTCCTTCTGCCTTATTTCAACACTGTCCAAGCCATATTAATAAAAAATTCATCAGCATCACCTTAATGGCTGGAAGTCTTCCACGGTCTGCTTAACAAGACACTTTGTTTTGCAAATTGTGGAATCGACTCCCAGTGAGGGGTCTTGTCTGAGAAAGATAACCTCTTCCTTTTTGGGCATCTACTAGGCTTGTTGGCCCCCTATACTATAAAAAAAAGGCTGGGCATCAAATGATAAAATTTAATATAAACCTTGTTATAAAAGTATTGATCTTCTCTGGCGGCTTCCATCTTGCCAAAGGAACCACCAGCTTCACGGATGGATCCACCACCACCACCACCTTTACCAGCACCTGATCCAGGTTCACCAGAATACATTCTGAAATATCATTAAAAAGAATTTTGAAATATAATATTATTGATCTGATATTATTTTCATATGTAAAATATGGTTATAAACTATTGGTTAAGCCAGTAAATACAGTAATTTTATTAATATCTTAATTTCAGCAATAACAATCACTATATTCATAAGTATTAATATCATTTTGCAAACTTATAAGAAGAAATATATCAAAAATTTTTCGATGCATCAAGATGTTTAACAAAATAATATAATTGTGTTACCACGAGTGATGGGCTTAATGTTAAAATGACTTGGAAATATATACTTCTGGAATCTTATAATTATAAAAGACTGCTATTATATATTGATTATTACACATTTACCGGGTATTACGCACAACCGGTGTTAGATTTTATCGAAATCATAAAAAAAATATGTAATAATGGTTCAAAATTAAACTTTAAATTGGACTATTAGATTCAGATCGAACAGTAATCAAATTATTTATCGGAGTGAAATTATTAATTTGAAATCAGGGAGGCCTGATAAGTAAGCTTAAAAATAGAAAACCTACAAAATTTTGCGAGATAATCTAGAACGATTGCGTAATACGACAAATATAATTATTTTTGTACCTTATACTCGCAAGTGCACGTAGAGAGAGCACTTCTTTGCGTATTAATGAATTCATAATTGATTTTAAAATAAACCTTGATATCTCAAAAATTATAGAAAGATTCCAAAACGCCGACTCAGAAAGTTGTAAAATGACATCAAAGATTTAAATGTCAGATGTCTCATGTCAATGTGTAATTTTCTCAATATATTGTTAAGCCATGTAGACAATAATTGTTAAGGTTCGAGCACAGATTATACGAACTTGATTAATATTAAATTTAATATATATAATACTTGGTTATAAGTAAGTCATATCTTTACAACTAAATTTATTTCAAACATTTCCGTTAAATCGAATCGTTTTTCATGCTTACACATTATTTTTCTAGGTGTCAATAGGTGGCTCTTTTCCTATTTAATTTTTACCTTTATATATATTTTTATATAGTTTATTTATAATAGACAATTATTTGGTTTACAGCACCATCTTGTATAAAAATTGTGAGAAAATTATAAAATGTCATTCCTGTTACAATTAAATTTTATATAAATTATAATAAAAAACAAACACTTACGCCATCTCTTGTTTCTTTACCCAAAGGACATGTTTCAATTTTTGTTCAGCTATGATTTTATTCAACTCGGCTGTTTCTCTCATTGATCGTATTATTTGCATTTCTTCTTTAAGCGCTTCCATTTTCATTTCTTTTTGAGTTGTGGAAAACCTATGGCGTAATTAGAATAATAAGAACGCAATGACCTTGCCAAGTCTTCTGTCATAGTGAATGTGTATGGGCGGCGGTAACACTAAATATCAGATGAGCCCTCCTGCCCTTTTTATACATAAACTGCGATTCATAGCAAGAAATAAACTCTACAAAAATATATTTAGGTTTATATATAAAACTGCTAAGAATAATAAAATTGAATAAACCAAATGTTAATGTATTATTTTCATTATACTAAATTTTAATAAAATACCTCAAAAAGTCATTTGCTACTCCAGGGAACAAGTTTATATCTACGAAAGCATCTGTCATAGTTTCAGCAGTCTTATGATTTCCAGAGTCTATCTCATTTGTAGGCTCACTCAAATCCATTGGTTCCGAGAAGGATGATGATGAGTCTATAATTATAGTGTCGACTTTGGACTGCGTTTTACAGCTTGGTACATTCAGATCACTGAAATTTTATTTCAATGAAGATTTTATAACGCCTGTTTGTTTTTTTCCGCAATATTTCATTAATATTAGTTACGTTAACTTTGCTCTAATTATATTAAAGAATAATTTCTTAAATTGATTATTTAAGTCTTGACTTAAATAATCAATTATTTAACTTTTTAAACAGTCAACTTCAAATAAAACATAAAACAGTAATAGTATTAGTAAATTAATTACTTACTCGTCAATACATTCCGTTTTAATTTCAATATCAGTTTTTAAAATTGTTTCAATGGACTGTGCTTTTTCTTCTTGTTTTATTTCACCATTTTTAACTAAATCTAGAATGTTACATACTTCAAATGATTGTCTTGTATAGTTATTTACTGTTGGGCCATTTAAAGAAATTTCCTCCCGAGCGATACGTTTCATATTCTGCCATTGAGTTTTCAATTTTTTTATCGAGAACTCGGTAAATTTAGGACCGAATTTAGAGGTTAATTCCTGTAGTATCTCGTTCCACGCGACATCTTTTTCTTCGTAATTGTTTGGTGCATTGGGTTTATTGATGACGATTTCTTTTCGCTCTTTAATTAAGTCGAGTAGATACTGTTTTTCTTCTGGTGACCAATTTGGTGTCCTCGAGCGTCGGCTTATTTTTCTCATCTTATAATCTCTGGGTAGTTTGTGATTAATCTTTTGCAACGTTTTATTACAAACGATGCACTCAATGTCCAGTTGAAAAGACTCCCACATTTAAACAATTGACTAACGACGATTGAAACTTATTTTGACAACGACGTTTGCTAGCTAATTGTGTTTATTATTTTATATCGTATTAATGAATGAGGTTTATTTTGGAGATGTGACATTATCGAGTTGGCGATGGATTTTTATGTATTTTAGTTATGTTAAGTTTTGAAGAGTGTAAAACATAAACAACAATTAACACACAGACAATTAGACGCAATATTCAAATTCAAATATTTGCAAAAATGATAAAGGTGTTAGTTCTAGCTGACACGATTTGCATGCAAGATTTCTTATCTTGGCCTCAGATTTCTGAATCTGTTTCATGATCATTTTTAAATCTAATACGCAAGTAGGTGATCAGCCTCCAGTGCCTGACACACGCCGTCGACTTTTTGGGTCTAAGACATGTCGGTATCCTCACGATGTTTTCCTTCACCGTTCGAGCAAATGTTAAATGCGCACATAGAAAGACAGTCCATTGGTGCACAGTCGGGGATCGAACCTACGATCTCAGTAATAATTATAGTTTAAAACATTTAATTGTTACAATTATTTATGTAGGATTTCATGAAAACTGTCTTAATGCCAAATATACAAAACCTATTAGACTTAATTCCAAAAGTTATTGAATGTAATTCCTTTTAATAATAATAACGGAGTACACATATTGTTCAGATTTTTTTTACATTTAACGATTAGTCTTTGATATAACCTATTACAATATACTAAATATATGTAAATTGATTTGCATGGCGTTTGAAGTCCACAGACCATTCGATAGTTCATTACAGTTGTTTTTGTTATTTTTTTTGTATTATTATTCCTTTATGCTTGTCCTCTGCATATTAAAGGAATGGCACAATTTTAATAGTTTTATATGTTAGTTGATTTGTGTTTTGTATTTATAAACACGTGTTATATTTATTTGTCACAATTTTTTGGCCCTAATAAAAAAAATTATGAAAGAATCCCAGTTACAGTTAATGATAAAGAACCCTATTGAAGTTTACACTAAATTTACACTTTTCCTGTGTAAATATTACTATATACTCTTGTACTCATCTGCGTTTTTGCTAGGCACATTGGGGTATGAATCACTTGAACTGCGGCAATAACAATCAGCAGTTCTTGCACTAAATGTTTAGAGGAAGAGCAGACTGCATGAGCCTTCTTCCAGCATTGCTTAGACCATATGTACCTGAAAAGTATTTCAGATCCTGGAGGAATACATGAGCTCCGCATAGTAGTGGATCTCATGAACTATCCTACCCTAGCAGTTCCCAATTCCGCATATGATTTCGGTGGTTGACCGTTTCCTCAGTTCTGCACCAGAACCCGATGTATCTGAGTTGCAGATTCTTTGCTTTTACATATTTTCGTTATTTATATTTTATAATACTACAAAATGTAATTATTTTATTTTTATCTCATACACTGTTTTAATGTGTCTTTTTAATGTTAATATTCTACGGTTTCGATATTTGTAAATATGTGAGGAACTTGTATACTAACTTTCTTTAGTATAGTAGTTTTATTCTAGTACTCCTAGTACATTGTCTCCACATATAATTATTTAACTAATGTATACAAAATATTGTAAACCTATTTTAAAAGAGTAAGTGTGGAGTTTCTTGCTCATTCTTCTCCACACGAAACTACCTATTGGTAGGGGCAACTAGAATCATCTTTATATTTTATTTGACGTTCCATTTTAGGTGGTCTAATTGAAATAAATGATTTGACTTGATTTGACTTCTGTGATAGGTTCGGGGGGGACTGACGGACGAATGTGAGATGTTTTTATTTCTTAACTATTAGTAAATTTTTATTGTATTCTAAGATAGTATGTAAGTATATATTATAATTATTGTTTGGCATATATTATGTAAGTAAATAAATTATATCTTCGCGTACTTCAGCGTGCCTCATGGCTTTGAACAAGATTTTCCAGCGATTACTATCACGCACTGGTGTCTCCGAGGTACTTGCCACCTATAGATTAATATAGATAGATATAGATATAGATCAAATAATCGAATCAACGTGACAGGTGAAAATTATTTAGAAATATCATTGATTTTAACTGTATATTTAGTTTATACTTAGAGTCTTCACTACAACCTGTTTGTTGACACATCGTATAATTAATAGCATCAAGAATGCAGCCGGGCAATCCACTTAATCGGTACAAAATGGCTTCGCATGTTAGGAAGATCAAATGCACTAACGCGTACTTACACTACACTATTTTTTGGTATCCAAAGTGAAATTGTACCTATACACCTCGAGATTAGATCGTAGTAATAATCAGATGCTTCAACCGAGAATAATAAACTTATTCGAGGGTCTTTGGCTTCGCTTTCTGCTTTAGCGGACATGTTGAGGTCCGAATTAAGGATCTAGTACGTCTAGTGAATCTGCTCCCTAATAATTACGCAACCGATTTACGAAGCTATGTTCTCTTTCTCTCAAACGTTTGGGGATTCCTTCTATGATATTAATTTGTTGAAAACTCGCATGTCTTGCTAACAAACACTCTTCTTAAAGCCACAGCCAGCATTGGAATACTTGGCGTTGACATATCGAACGACGTTCAGTTTCGCGGACACTTGGAGGGAAAGGCTAAATTAGCCTCCAAAAAACTTGGTGTGCTAAGCAAAGCGAGACGGTAGTTCACTCCGGGCCACCGCTTGCAACACATGGAGTACTGCTCTCACCTCTTGGCGGGGGCTCCCCAGCTCCTTCCACTTGACCGTATTCAACGCAGAGCGATTCGAAGCGCGTCGACGACCAATCCCTCTCCGAGCGGCTTGATCCTTTGGCGTTGCGTAGAGATGTGGGGTCACTCTGCATCTTCCACCGCATTTACCATGGAGAGTGTTCAGAGGAGTTGTTCGGATCAATACCTGCAGCTGAGATTCATCATCGGACATCGAGGCAGAATACGAAATTCCACCCGTATCACCTCGACGTCCGCCTATCCACAACTGAGTGTTTTTCAATGCAGTTTTTGCCGCGCACCACCTCTTAGTGGAACCAGCTGCCCACTGAAGTATTTCCGAAACCAATTCGACTTAGGGTCCTTCAAGAAAAGAGCGTACCTATTCTTAAAAGGCCGGCAACGCACTCGCGAGCCCCCTGGCATTGAGAGTGTCCATGGGCGGCGGTATCACTTAACTTGCTAGTACGAAGCAGGATAAACATTAAGAGACCCGAAATCCGTGGTGTGACAGACAGAGGTCTCATTAACTAATTGCCTTTAATGAATGGTCCAAAAAAACATGCAAATTATTATTATCGATTAACGTATGCAAAATCGAAAAGGGTTTCCAACGTTAGTGCCTTGTCTTAGTTGTATGTAAGACATTTATTTTTATGTTTAGTACTCTATACCGATAATTAGTTACTTTCATATTTTTAAACCTGTTTACCCAGTTTATTTTAAGCATGGTGAAATATTTAATGAGGCTTTCATTATTAATGTTTTTTTAAGAAAGAAAATTTAGGTGTTTAAAGAATTTTTTTTTAAGACATTAATATTTTTATGAGAACTTAATGAATACGCAGTTTCAATTGTAATTTGTCTTCTAAGCTCAGGATGTATGACTTTAAAGCCCTTTTCAATTAATTAAATACAGAAATGTTACAAATTTTTAAGTTAATCTATTATATAAATTTATATTTGTACATATATGATAAAATGCATTTTATCAGTTCTAATAAAAAATAAGGCTCTTTTCTAAAAATATATAATTATGTTTTGTCTTATAATTAACATCCTGATAATAATAATTCTCAGGATGTTAGTAGTTAAGGTAGTATGAATTTTTGTTTTGGTTCATTTGCTGTAAATAAATTAATGGTTGTTATGAGTAAGGCACTTTAACTGTGTTTGACTTTTACCTTATTACATAATGTATCGAAATAATTCCTTCAACAATCATACTTCTATTACACAAGAAAAGAAGATATAATGAATTAGGATATTATTACGATTCGAATGTCACACGCGTTACATGCCCTTTAAGAAGTTTATTTCGAGGTGTTATTTCCACATATCTTTAGGAAGTAGGAGACGTAGTTTGTTCGTCGGGTGAAAGCATTTTTCAAACAAACAAGAAAATCTGCGATGTGCCTTGAACCTTAAAGTCTAGTATTTAATTACATAGCCTGTCATTATATACTAATAATCTTAATCCAGTGACGACTGTCTATCTGACACATGTCGTTGATATTTTTGATTCTTGACATGCCGGTTTTCTCACGATGTTTGCCTTCACAGGGGGCTTAGTCAAGATGCCTTAACAGTAGTGTATGTAGAAAGTCTAAAACTAAATTTGGTTGAAAATGTCATGTCGACAAATTTTCTTTGTTTATTAAATGTTGACTTTTTTACATACATTAATGTTAAGGCATCTCGATTAAGCCCCCCTGTTCCAACGAGTGTTGATGTGCTTATAGACAGAAAGTCCTTTAGTGCACAGCCAAGAACGAACCCTTAGGAATGAAAGTCGCACGCTGAAGCTACTAAAATTGCAATTTACTAATCACTGATTAATAGCTTAATACATTTGCCTAACATTTATTTGTTACTGAGTCAGATGAGTTAATGACACTAGACAATTATTTATAGATTAAACACAACTATCTAAACGATAGTTTATGAACTTTACACGATAAAATCCTAAAAAAGAAAATTATCGAAGTAAAACGCCTAAACTCAACTGCGAAATAACTACAGTCAAAATCTGTTAAAACTAAATCGAAGGGACTACTCATATTTGGTCGTAAAACCGATGACGTTGTTATTAAGTACCTAATACAACAGAATTCAGCCGGGACCTTTGACTTTGATAACCGGTATGTTGTCCTAAACGATGTCGTCAACGCTTTTGACTGTATTTACAAAGTAATCTTAGCACTAGCACTACAGTATCGACTACATAATTTTTAAAACATTTAATATGTCGCTTTCGCGAATTCGCTATGGGAACATGTTCATCACGAACATGTCAATTATATCGGGTACAGTTATAAGCACGCGCAACGATTTGGTTACGGGAGCCTAGTGCCACAAAATATGAATAAAATACAATGATACTGTGGATGCTCTCTGTTAGAAAACATTTCCAAAAATTGTTATATTTTTGATTAACTTTAAAAGCGGTTAACAAGGAACCAGGACGTACTAGAGAAGAGACAAGTTAAAACTCATGGCATATGAGCATGCATGGTGATTGGTGAATGTCATGAAAGCGGATGAAGCGAGAAATGTATGTTAGAACCGTATTGGAGATACGTGGTCTCTGCCTACCCCTTCGGAAAAGAGGGATGAAGAAATGTAATGCTGCTAATCAATAATTTCCGATTAGTTTAGTACTTACTAGCGATCCATTTGAATCACATTTTGACTCTTTTATTACATAAATTCTCTAAAATTTGGTATGTCGACTGCGGTAACAGCCCATAGATAAGGTCATTAATCGACCTAGGTAATTACCTGTCCGACCACAGTGTTTCAAAACGTCCAAGCATTATATTTGTTGTGAAATTCGGCCCTTAATAAAATTTATCAAACTAACACACGCATTTAACTCTAAGTAAGTTTTTAGTACCGGAAAAATTTAACAATTGATAATTTGTGATATTATTAAAGAAAGCAGCTTTTTTTAAAGGAATCGAATAATACACTTTCCATTTAAGTCAGTCGAGCGTTGCAACTCGCGGGCTGAGCGCGTCCGTCACACACGTGATATAAACTACAAAATTCATTATTTTTGACTTAAAATAATTTATTTTAGTAGAATAATTTGTGCAGTTGTTATTTAGTGATTAATAGTGATTTTTCAATTACGTTAATTGTTATATTTGTGGTATAAACACCGAGTTTTCACGAATTTTAAAGTAAGTAAATAAATGTTAATATAACAATTTGACGTACATTGTATAAACAAATAATTGTAGCTAGGTTTTAGATATTTTCTGGAAGATTCCTTTTGATAAAAAATTTGCGCATTTTATTTGTTGCGCAATCTTAACCAAGTTGTAGCATAAAAAGTATTCTCTAAGAATAATGAATGCTCAAGCGAACAGCGTAAACGTGTTTGATATTTTATGTAAATGTAGAATATTTATTTACAATAAAAACCTCTCAAGAAACATGTCAAGCACGTGCCAAATTCTAGATTTATAAAGATAACATTAACAGTTACAGACTTAACAAAATATAACTTATATTACGATAAAAAACTACAAGGCCCTTCAAGCAAATATGCTTTTCTATTTCAAATTCTACTGAATATTATAATGATTTATTTATAAAACAATTGAAACTGCCTTATTTTGTACAGTAAATATTGTGTAATATGTATTCGGTAAGCTTAAGGTTTCAGCCCTAAGAAGAATTGTTTGAACTGGTTTGGGAATCACATTAAAAAAACTAGCCCATGTCTTCAATCAAGAATAAAAATAAAAGGTCACTTCTGAAGCCTCCATCGTTTTAACATTCATGTTTTTTTATCGTGCTCTTTTTGAAATGATTGTTTGAGAATAGCTTTTAGAATAAAAATTATTGAGGAATTGAATAAAATTGGTTTCGGGATTATTGATTCGTAATATAATACTGCTTATTTAAATTATAAAGAAATAACAATATATTATAGATTTACCTGATTACTTGACTGAATGAAAATTTAACTCACAGTCAATGCAAACCCGTCTCGCATGCTTTATAGCAAGCATCGTCATGGGTCGAAATGTTAAGACTTTTGTACAGTGATTTTTAAAGTAAGATTTCAACCATAAATTTGTGACAAAAGTCGATGAGAACCGTATGAAACTTGTTTTAAAAATTGAAATGATAGTATTGTCTTTTTAATTGAAATGATACGAATACGACGAACGCTTTATTTGAAGGCGCTCTCCTTAGTACTTCACACAGCCTGAGTATGTTTAGGTTTGGCATATCGAAAGAAGTCTAATTCCGCAGTCATCTGAATGTAAAAGACAAACTGGCTTCCAAAAAGCTGGGTGTTTTGCTTAGGGCTAAGCAATATTTCACTGAGGTATTAGGTATGCATTTCTACAAGTCTCAAGTACCTACGACCTCATATGAAATACTGCTCACATTTCTGGGCCGGTGCTCCAAAATACCAGCTTCTTCCTTTTGACCAAATTCAACGAAGGGCTTGTCGAATTGTCAATCTCAATTACTGATCGGCTTGATTCTCTCTTTATTTATTTATTTATTTATTAAGGAAACTAAACAAATACATCTCTATACAGTAAAAGGAAATAAACAAAATGTAAAACATAAAATAAATAGAGACTTCCTACGCAGAGACGTTGCATCTCTGTGCGTTTTCTGAAGAATTGTTTGGGTTGATCCCTACTGCCTCATTACAACACCGTACGAGCCGTATCAATTCAAAATTTCATCAGCATCACCTTGATGTCAGGAATTCTTCTACAGTCCGCTTCACAGACCCTTTCTTCTGCGAACTAGCGAACTGTGGAATCGACTCCCGGTGGGATACGACTTTCAATTGTTTAAAGTAAGAGTATACTCCTCCCTCATAAGCCGACAACCCACAAAAAATGGGTCTCTATGGGATGACTGCTATTTTTGGTCATCCCGTTCCCTTTTCTATAAAAAAACGTGTTTGTATCGGTTAAAAGACATATTTTGTATAACAGCATTCGCGATCAGAACGAAAATCTAGATAAGTCAATTGCCCAATGAATCAACGATATGTATATCTATTATATATAATTCATTATATAAATGTATACTCAAATTGCTATTGAAGTAACCAGTGTCAGTACACGTGACAATTACGGTCGTTTTTTTTTCAAGTAATTATCGAAGTTATATAAAGAATACCGCATGTGAAATCAAAATAAAAAAGGTTAGTCGACATCACAGGAGACCGAAGATCTGGCAGCTACCTCGGACAAAGAATTAGTCTAGCAATTCAAAGGGGGAACGCTGCCAGTATCTTCGGAACCTTGCCTAAAGGGACTCCTTTTAATGATATATTTTAGTTTATGTTAAGTTTAGTTATTTATTTCAATGTATATTATTTTATTATTATATAAGTGATATTTTAAAGTAGCATATTAGACACGTATATTAGATACAGGTTCACCTGTATCTAATATATGTGTCATGTTCTTGTCAAATGTCATATCAGTTAATGTGTCCTGTGACCATACGTATTCCCCGTTTATTATTGAGTTCAATGTACACTTATGAACGTCAATAAAAATGCTTCTTCATCTACATTTACTTCCTCAAATTAAGGGCGTAAGACGAACGAATGCAATACAATGAACTATTTATGTAAGCAATAAAAGAGACCACATTTGTCAGGCAATCAAAAGTCAAAGTCAAAAATCATTTATTCATATAGGTAAAACACAATGTACACTTATGAACGTCAAAAAAAATTACATTAAATGCTTCTAATTTTACATTTACTGCCAGTTCTCAAATCAAGGGCGTAGAACGGAAGAGAAGAACTGGCAATAAACTCTCCGCCACTCTTTTTAATCGCCAAGTTATTTGTTTTACACAACGTTTGTAAGGAGCTGCAACCATTACACCATGTTCCACATGACGTCCTTAATAATAAATAATAATAAAATAAATTAAAACAAAGAATTGTCCTCTATCAGTAGGAGGCATGGTGAAATAGGAGCACGCACTTACATTCTCGTGGGAACAACTCGCAAATACATAGTCGAAACAACTAACACTGCATACACAAATTCAAGTACGACCAGTCACCACAAGTAGCACCCGTTCACGAGTATGACGCATGGCCAGCCATCGGCCCCCTCGCCATATTTTAGGGAGAGAGACAACCCGACGCATGGACGCCGCCACATGCAATGACATTTAAGCGAGCATGACGATCCTTGAAATGTGGACTTGGCTTCATAAAAAAAAATATTACTAATATAATACTAATACATCTGATAGCTAATTTATAACAGGGAAAGATTTGTATTGATATGCAAAAACTATTGTGTAAAAATCATCTCACAATTAGATCGCTACATTATCTAAAGGCTAGTCAATTGAACGGCTTATTCAGCTAGTTGACTGTGACATTTACATGAATATTTAGAAGTTTAATATAGCATGTAGCATCTATTTTCTATTAAGTTAAAAACGATTTATGTTTTATTTATTTACATGATCGTGTTTATTTGTTGGTAATGAGCCTCCGTAGTTCAGTCACGCACGTCTTTAACCGACTTCAAAAAAAGCTATTTCGTTTAATATACAATTAGTGTCCACAGCTCCCTTGTTTGTGTATTTAAGCAAGATTCGCGATTAGAAAAGATAGAGCTAGAGCAGTGTTGGCCTAGTGGCTTTACCATGCGACTATTATGATAGTCTCAGGTATGACCGGAGGTCGTAGGTTCGAACCCCGTCTGTGCACCAATGGACTTTCTTTCTATGTGCGCATTTAACATTTGGTCGAACGGTGAAGGAAAACATCGTGAGGAAACCGACATGTCTTAGACCCAAAAAGTCGACGGTGTGTGTCAGGCACTGGAGGCTGATCACCTACTTGCCTATTTGATTTAAAAATTATCATGAAACAGATTCAGAAATCTGAGGCCAAGACCTAAAGAGGTTGTTGCGCCACAGATATATTTATTATTTATTGCGATTAGAAAATTCAATATACTTATTTTATTAAAACTCAGGAATCATTCTACCTATTGGTGCCGTATACATCTAGTAGGTAGTTTTTGTGTTTATCTCGTTCAAACAAACATATGTGGCCGGGAGATTTCATTTTATTATATGTAAGGAAAGGACGTTATCAGGGCCAAGCGCAAATAATAGGTAAAATCTTCAATCTTATCTTAAAAAGAATGTTCGTATAGAAATCTTCATCTGCACTGCATGGTATTTGGAACTAGATTGAAGCTGGGTGGTTCGGAAACATGACCGCGCTTAGTATCACATCCCTATGTCCAAGCGTTTTTGACACTATGGTTGGTTGTGACGGAAGTCACATTTAGCACTAACGCTGGCCATAGACGGACCGCATGTTGCAGTCGAGACCGACTGCTGTAGAGTGGTCGCGTTGAAGTCGTACACGACTACAACACGACCGCATAATGCAGTCGACTACGACTGCTTGGAGCAGTTGTGTTGGACCGCAAAATAATACTGATGCGAGTTCATTTACAAGATGGATTTCGATGAAGAAACACTGCTACTTGTACTACTATTACGCAAGCGCCACCGTAGTATGTGGGTGCGTCCAATACTACAATCAAGAGAACAGCATAGAATATTTCATACTTTGTATCCCCAGCTGAGAGAAGACACTAAAAGGTTTTTCAACTACTTTAAAAAGTCCGTGGTTTCATTTGATGAATTAGTTAGTATTTTATTATATTTGAGGGAGTGGCGCGCGGTCGGCAACAACCGCTTGTAGCGGTCCGTGTATGGTGGGTCCGGCAGCTCTAAGCAGTCGACCGCACGGCGAAACTCGACCGCAGAGCGACTGCTCCGACCGCTCAGAAACTGGTCGTGCGGTCCGTGTATTGCGGATATGAATTTAGTATGGAAACTGCAGTTCGCCATGCGGCGACCGCATGTTGCAGTCGAGACCGACTGGTCTAGAGTGGTCGCGTTGAAGTCATACACGACTGCAACACGACTGCAACACGACCGCATAATGCAGTCGACTACGACTGCTTGGAGCAGTTGTGTTCGACCGCAAAATAAAATTGATGCGAGTTCATTTATAAGATGGATTTCGATGAAGAAACGCTGTTTCTTGTACTACTATTACGCAACCGTAGGCATAGAAGACACCTTAGCATGTGGATTCGTCCAATACTACAACCAAGAGAACAGCATGGAATATTTCATACTTTGTATCCCCAAATGAGAGAAGACACTAAAAAGTTTTTCAACTACTTTAGAATGTCCGTGGTTTCATTTGATGAATTAGTTAGTATTTTATTTTATTTGAGGGAGTGGCGCGCGGTCGGCAGCAACCGCTTGTAGCTGTCCGTGTAGGGTGGGTCCGGCAGCTCTAAGCAGTCGACCGCACGGCGAAACTCGACCGCAGAGCAACTGCTCCGACCGCTCAGAAACTGGTCGTGCGGTCCGTGTATGGCGAATATGAATTTGGTATGGAAACTGCAGTTCGCCGTGCGGCGACCGCTTAGAGCAGTCGGTATCGACTGCAACATGCGGTCCGTCTATGGCCAGCGTTAGTCTCGCCTCAGAATCTGTAATGTTTAGGTTATTCAGAATCGGACATTATGTCGAAATTTCGTTAAAGCGTAATAATAGACCTAAATCTCGACTCTGATTATCACCTTAAGACATGTTGGAATATGATTTTGAACTTAGAACTGTCTTTGAAAAGGGAAAATGTGCTTTCGTAAATTTAACTGATATCGTCGTATCGACGTTCTAATAATGAAACTATCGAAGCAATACTTATACAGTACCTTAAATATATGCAAAATCAGACTTTTTGTATAGGAACAATGATGTCATTGCAATTCACTATATGTATAATAATTTATAAAAGACGCTTGCCTACATCTTCACATTATGACTGTCATAATAATAACCTAATCTTATTGCTTCTAAAATCATAATTTACCCATTATTTAGTGGACTTCTTATAGTGTAATCGATTAGATGGAAAGAACTTCTAGAAGAAGAAATCTTAATTTGAATAACGATTAATTCGAGTTAATAGTTAAAATTCTTCAGAAAAGTTTCTTAACTGTACCGGTTTAGGATTTTAAAGCTAATGTTATGCATTGATTTAAATAATCTTTGTAATATATGATTTTTTAAATTTAGAACCTTGGTTTGGAGATTTAAATATATATATCGTATATTTAAATCTCTAAAAGGAACATAGAAGGAAATACATTTTCTAAAATGAAAATAGAAATAAAACTGCAGCAGATCAATGCAAGTGGAAATGCACTCCGAAGATATTCCAATTATATCTTCAAGCAGGTGCTTGAGGTGTCCCAAGCAAACCTGGCGAAAGACTTGGAGCGAGGTGAGATACGAGGCAAAGGCCGAAAGCGATGGAAACTCACTGTGAACGCCGTCTGGCCCCATCGAGGGTTATAGGCCATTAAGTCAAGCGAGTGGAGAACGAACCTCTGCCCCATCTAGGGGTTATCGATATAGTTTTATATATTTAATGGTTATAAATCACATGGTGACGTAAAGTTTGTTTGTCAGTTGTATGGCGTTGCGAAGAGATTATACCTATGATAAATTAATCGTAATATGTTTTATTAATTAATGCAATGATACGGTTAAAACTATTTAGATTCTTTTGAATACATCATGTGAATATTGACTAAATATAGTAAAACTTCAAAGGAAATAACAACTCACGTCAACAGATGGCGTTAATGGTAAGATTAGAATACGCTTTAATCTATGAAATTGTTAACTATCAATTTTATATGGTTGTCTCTCGCTAACCATGGTTTGACACATCAAGTTATTGTTTTAAATAATGAAAATTCCCTAATTTAGAGTACGATGTGGAGACTTCATATTAAACGTTTATTTAACTAAAATACAAATAAAACTGTTTACAGTGGTTTTCCAAATAAACGTATTATAGTCACAATTTGACAACGATTTATTTACATTTTTTCGCGCTCTTTTCAACAAGAATTTGTCATTGGCAAATACTGCTTTAGTAAATTACACCTCTGAGTTTATAGGTGGCGCTTGCTACCTTCTGTCAGTGGGTTAATCGACCCATGACCATCTTTAAACGCGGAGATTTTTGACTAATTATAGCTTATTTTATTTTATTAATTACCACCTTATTAATTCCCCGAAGTCTTTTATATAAATTGAATTGATCCCTGCTGCCATGTTTCACCAATGCACAAGTCTTGATAATTCCAATTATAATCCACAACACCTCGAGGGCTGGAAATTTTCCACGGTCACTAGGTATTTTAATTTACGAACTAGCAGGAGCTAGGCCTTAGGAGGTCTTTCCCAGGAGACGACCTCCAAGTATTTAAAAAAGACCGTAACACCGTACCCCCTTAGAGCGGCAACGCTCTTTAAAATGTTTTAGAATTCTTGGGCTGCGGTAGCTATCTTTGATGGCTGTATTTCATAAAATACAGCTTTCAATTTTATCGTTATTACAAAAGGTTGGGTTTGGTATCACAAAATAATTTTAAACTTTTCTTTGGCACTTTGTTTTGACACGTCTCGTTTTATTGGTAGTGATTAAAACATATCGGTAATGGCGCCAGATTAAGAAAGTCAAATAAAATCGACATTTTAACCTAAAATTTAAAAATAAGACCGTTTTGAAAGTTATTTTACTTTTTAAAGTTATTTTACTAAGAAAAATCTAGGTCATGCATGGTACGCGTTCTAATAGTGTTTCATAATCTAAAATTAAGTTTGCCTTATTATTCTCGGTTAGTAGTTATTTTGTACTGTGAGTGAATCATTATTGTGACTTATCAGATATATATATCAAAGCTCTGTTGTAAAATAGGATCAGTGGCCACAGCATCGGTACTCCGTAACTCCCAATTCAATCACCTCCCATGCTATGGCATGAAATTGGATCCAAAGTTGAGTTTAAGTACCCCGCGATCTCAAGGTTGCTATGGTGAGGCATCGGCGCTGGACCTTCTTTTACGATCAAAGCAAATCAATTTTTAACTTATATTAAAAAACTACTTTTAGCAAATTAATTAATTAATTTTAATTATTATTATTTATTTATTAATTATTTAATTTTATTTGTTATGTACACTTCCCACCAGTTACCAAATCAAGGACATAGATCGGGAGAAAAAATGGGCATGAACCATTCTTTTTAATCGCCAAATTTTTGGTCAACTAAAAAATAAGGAAATTTCAACCAACGTGCTTCAGTTGACATTGAAACAAAATGTCATAATAATAATGAAACAATTGAGTCGATCAAGGTTAAAACTGTTTGCTGAAGATGCATTGCGTTGCATGGCAATCAAGGTTTTTAATAATTTTCCATAAACATTAAAAGATCTTCCTACTAGAGTATTTAAAAATCGATTTAATGTACTACTTTTGGAAAAAAAATATTATTCTATAAATGATTATTTGCGTGAAACATTATATTTAATATTAATTTGATAACGTAATAATATATTTTAATAACGTGATATTTTATCACTACAATTAATATAAGAATTGACTAATTGATGTACATATATATATATCTTCTATGAAAAATTCCTTTTAAGACAAATTTATTTATTTGGCGTAGTTGTAATATAATTATTTAGAACTGCGTCATTACCAAGTTGTTGACTGCAATAACTGCTGTATAATTATTATAATATTATAATCTATATACCACGAGGTTTATTTTATATACAAGGTGAAATATAAATAATATATAATAATAATAATCTACGAATCTTTATAGATTTTATACTATATTAAATTTTATCGTTATTATTTCTGGGAGTACAACAGTACGCCCGCCATGTCCAGAAAATAAGGCACCGCCGCATAGACCGTATCATTTTCTCGAAGCAATTCAGGCCATTTTCAACTTCGTTGTGGATAAAATTAGAAGCCTCTTAGTTACCAAGCAGACATGGTATATATATCAAATTTCGTTCAATTTTAACCAGCAGTTTAGGAATATAACTAGTCAAATTTATTAATTTTTCACTCACTCTGATCGATCATCAAAACTCTTAGGCACTTGCGCCCGAACCCAATAACCTATTTCAATCCATAATCCACAATCTGAGATAGTAATAAAAACCAACCAAACCAAATGTTGTAACAAGTGTGCCAATAACCAATCGACGGATTGTAATAGCCAGCTGTCGATACAAGCTATCCATAGGAAGTCGTAACGGTGTATGTGGATAGACCTTTGTATGAAAATTATTGGGACGCAGATAGGAGATCGATCGACTGTCACGGTCTGATAATCCACAATCTCAGATTGAACAATCTGAGATTGTGGATTAATTATTGGGTTCGGGCGTTAGCAGAAAAGATAGACAAGTCAATGTATTTATTTAAAACAAAAAAGATTTGTAATATCGTCAGTATAAGATGTTATTAGGATAGCTAATTACGTAAAACTTAAGAATAAGGAGTAAGTAGGGAATGAATAGGTACATTAATTGGCTTTACTGATCTCCTTTTTACGGTAGAAGACTGAGCAGCCTTGTTTTTTGTTACTTTTATGGTGTCTTAAATTACTTCCATTAGGTTGTAGTGCGACTGGTGTTTTTATTATTCTACAATATTTAATTTATGAGTGAACAATCTGAGATTGTGGATTAATTATTGGGTTCGGGCTAGCAGAAAAGAAGACAATCAATGTATTTATTTAAAACAAAAAATTGTAATATCGCAGTATAAGATGTTATTAGGATAGCTAATTACGTAAAACTTAAGAGATAAGGAGTAAGTAGGAAATGAATAGGTACATTAATTGGCTTGGTGTTACATGGATCTCACAATTTTTTACGGTAGAAGAACTGAGCAGCGAGACTTGGTTTTTTTAGTTACATTATTGATGGTGTCTTAAATTACTTCCAATTCACCTCGTTTACGGGTTGTAGTGCGACTGGTGTTTTTATTATTGCTACAATATTTAATTTATGAGTGACTTTAAAAGCCGATAAAACATTTTCCCAAGAAAAGTTTCGCAATATAATATTTCTTACGAAATAATTACTGTAATTAAATAAACAACAGATCTGAAGCCACTCAAATAATATAATTACGTATATATTATCGTAATTGGCTTCTGAAACATTAATTACGAAATTTAAAAAGCTTATAATGTATCATTGGAAATCGGTACTTTTACCCAAACATTTACGGGTTTTGATAGTTCGGTTTTGTTGCCATGGTTACCGGGTCGGGATGCGTCGGGTTGTCTCTCTCCCTAAAATATGGCGAGGGGGCCGATGGCTGGCCATGTGTCATACTCGTGAACGGGTGCTACTTGTGGTGACTGGTCGTACTTGAATTCGTGTTTGCGGTGATGTTAGTTATTTCGACTACGTATTTGCGTGTTGTTCCCACGAGAATGTAAGTGCATGCTCCTATTTCAACATGCCTCCTGCTGATAGAGGACAAATCTTTGTTTTTATTTAATTTTATTATTATTTATTACTTAAGATGTAATGTGGCACATGGTGTAATGGTTGCAGCTCCTTACAAACATTGTGTAAAACAAAACTTGGCGATTAAAAAGAGTGGCGGAGAGTTTATTGCCAGTTCTTCTCTTCCTTTCTACGCCCTTGATTTGAGAACTGGCAGTAAATGTAAAATTAGAAGCATTAAATGTATATTTCTTTTTTGACGTTCATAAGTGTACATTGTGTAACCTATATGAATAAACCAAATTTGTACAATAAAAAACACCAGCAACAAATTTCAGAATAGTTTTTTTGTTATAAGGTTAAGATGATATCCATAATAATATAAAAACAATTAAATCGGGTAACCCTTCTAAAAAACACAATATCACAATGTTAAAGACTGTGCTTCAAGTGTCCGATTATAACCACAAAACACTGAATGATTCACACTTATCAGCCTTGATCTGAGACCTAGATACGAAAACTTGTATCAAAGTATATCATACATTTTATTTCCAGATCGATATCTTTATCTTAATTAAGGTACTTGAAACTTCAATTGCAAGGTAGCGAGAAAGTGTTTATATATATTATTAAATTAAAGTAATAATCTATTTTAACAGTTAAAGCAACGAAATGTTCATTTAATAATAATGTAACAATTCAGTGGAAATATTTTACTACCTTACTAAATATAAAGTTCTTTTTACGCCCTTTAAACAAATCTTTACATATAATTTAGTACTTAATAATTAAATGGATTGGTAACAATAAAATCATTCTACCCAACTACCTGTATCTATTAAAGAAAGCAATAAACTAAATTAATTGAGGACCACTTAGGGTAGTATAACGTATACTCTTATGATACACTATTTATTCCACTGAGGAACTCGGATGTCAGAGCTCTCCTTGCCGACACCACACATGACGCGAACAGGTCAATATCAACACTTAAATTGTTAAACTTATCAGCCGCCCTAACCATAAAGCTGTTCCCTCTGTAATTGCCAATTGGTGTTTTAGGTGCTTTAGTCAATTCAGTTGCCGCCGTGATTCTGAGTTTGGTATTAGCATCAATGCGAATAAGTCCAAATATATGACAATAAGCCGAACACCGAAGCTTTTCACGCAACAAGTGAAGTGTATTACTTCAACAATCAGACCTTGGAACGTGTCTCGAAAATACGATATCTAGGCACAGTGATTGATGAAAAGGGTGACCAGAGTTGAACAAGCGCGGAACGCCTTTTCAAAACTAAAAAACTTCTTTGTGACAAGCGCCTAAATTTACAGCTTAGAACTCGCATTGCGCCATGTTACGTCTTCTCTGTGCTGCTCGAAGTATAATCTTGGACGCTGACAGAGACTATGTCCAAAAGCTGGAAGCGTTTAAGATCTGGGTTTATCGACGTATGCTTAAAATATCTGGGCAGACCGCATACGAAATACAACCGTGCTGGACAGAATGCAGAAGAACAAAGAAGTGCTTATGACGGTTAAGGAAAGGAAACTTGAGTATTTCGGACATGTTTTACGTAACTGCAAAAAATACGAGCTCCTTCAACTAATCATACAAGGCATAGTGGCAGGTAGAAGGAGACCTGGCCGCAGACGCACGTCCTGGTTGAAAAACTTAAGACAATGGTTTGGTCAAAGCACCAAGACATTGTTTAGAAGCGCGGCATCCAAAATTAAAATAGCCGTGATGATCGCCAACCTTCGTAAGGAGATGGCACTATAAGAAGAAGAAGAATAGGTTCATATTTTTACACACGGAGACACACTTTACTTAGTAACTTAGGACAGTCAACTTTACCTGTATCTAAATTCATTAAATATGTAACATCTGCTATCTCACGCCTAACTGAGAGAGTTATTTACGACTTGGTCTCAGATTGCATATGTTTCTTCTTTTACTGTGATTTATAGACAAGTATTTGATTAGTTTGAAGGTTCTATATACATATTACATCTATATAATTTAACCTTATTATAAACAAATGGGCTATTAATTAATGTGAAAGTAAATTTAAAAAGCTTATCAGAGATTTGACATTAATTGCTATAGACTTTTAAATACAACGAAGAATTATTATTTATATATTCATTTGATATTAAGATAACCCTGATATTCATCGTAACATCATTTGTAAAAGATAACGCCTGCGAATTATAATGAGGAACGAAAACTTGTTTTGGTAGAAGTTAGTTAGAAGTTAGGTACAGTTTCACCTCCTCCGTATTCATAGACTATATGCAATATCTTTACTTAAGTACTCGTTCGTCTGTTACTGCTAATTTTGCTTTTATTATTTTAATTAAAGCAGTGAAATAAGGCTGATTCATTATTTATTCGGGGGTTATGTGTCAAGTTTGAGAAAAAGAATAAAATATTAGTTTAAAAGAAAGTTAGTAATAAATATTAGACATCGATTTATAGATTTAAATTTTTACGTTTGATATTTTTAAAGTGGGTTGAAAAGTTTTATTTCAAACGATTCCGTTTAAAATGAGAGAATTATTTGAACTTAGTAGCTATATATCTAATGTAAGAAC